ATTTCACTCCCAGCTTATTGCATGCACAATCCTGTTCCATAGCATTTGCCCACCTACACAAAATGGCACCCAATTCAACTCTAAGGGGCAGACTGGGCTCTGAAATCCACCCTGTTCCCCACACCACCTATTTGGGATCTGCTGTTCTGTCTCTGCTCCAGGTCAAATTAAACAAACCAACAGAATGGACAGTTCTTTATTTGAGTTCACCTCTTGGGCTCCCAGTGAACTCCCCTTCCCACATGGTTGCTGGTGGAGTTCCAACCACCTGTGGCATTCAGATTGCCACTTGCTGAATGCCACTAAGGTAACTGGTCACTGCAACAGCACACTGTTGTATCCACTGCTTTCTTGTGTCCATCAGTCTCCAGGTGTCCCTCTGCTGCCATTCTTTCCTCTCCTATTTCCTAGAATATGACCTCTCTGCTTCACACTGGCTAATGTTTCTCCATCTGTTTAAATGTGCCCTTACCCTATTCTGCCATTTTGATTTTCCTCATCTGTACAATTTTAAAAGATTTATTTGTTTATTTATTTGAATGTCAGTGTTACAGAACAAGAGGAAGAGACACAGAAACATATTCCATCTGCTGGTCTACTTCCCAGATGGCCACAAGTGCTACTAGCTCTGGGCCAGGCCAAAGTGAGGAACCAGAAACCAGGAGTTTTGTCCAGGTCTCCCACATGGGTGTCAGGGACCCAAGCACCTGGACCATCTTCTACTTCCTTCCCAGGCCACCAGTAGAGAGACAGATGTAAAAGCACAGCAGCCAGAACACAAACAAATGTCCACGGAGATGTTGTTTCAGGAGGCGTCTTCACCCTCTATGCTGGCCCCATGTATTCTCATCATCGCCTGTGACTGACAGGAGCAATTATACTGTTTATACTTTAAGTATTCGTTTGTTTATTTATTTATTTACTTACTTATTTAATACACAGAGTGATAGAGAGGAAGGGAGAGACATAAATACAGAGAGAAGGAACACGGAGTAGGTCACTGCCCAAATTCCTGCAATACCCAGAGCTACATCACGCCAAATCCAGGAGCCAGAAACACCATATAAGTCTCCTTTGTGGGTAGCAGTAGCCCAGGCACTTGGGCCATTATCTGCCACTTCCCATGTCCATTTGCAGAGAGATCGATCAGAGACGTGGAGTACCTGGGACTTCAATCATCACCTTAATATAGGATGTAGATGCCCCATCAGTGGTTTAACCTGCTATACAACAACAGCCACCCCTGTTGTTTTGTATAGCTGGCAAACATGAGTGATAGATAGATAAGGGAGATGAATAGACGATAGATAATAGATACAGTATGGTATAAACTTCAAACCAAGTATACATGTTCATGAGATGACATCACACAAGTATCACGGACAGGACTTAACCACCAGGGATCTTCCACGTAAGCCCCTCAAAATATTTGGAACACAAATAACAACTCTCTCATGCTTTCGCATAAATCTAGGATTCCATCCCCAATATAGTGCCCCAGACTGTAACGTTAGGAGATAAACTGCAATTGCAAAACTGGCATTTCAGGAAAACCTGAGTCAGTCTTTCAAAACCCCAGACTCCTCTCCAGCTGTGGTAAAGCACTCTGTGCGCTTTGGAAAGGATCTGCTTCAGTTTGCAAGAGAAAAATATGGATAAGAAGATCCTTCATTCCCCTACTGATTTCATTAGAAGGACTTCACAAAAAGTCAGATCCCAGTGGTGCTCCCTGCACTTTCCTGAGTGACTCAGCCACATGCCTTTCCTCGAAACATCTCTTTCCTACCCTCTAAATCTCTACAGAAGTTACTTCTTCCATAGATCAGGACATTCTACAAAATGACAAGTCAACCTAACCATTTTAACATCTAACATGAATTTACAAAAGGACTGAACACATGATCAGAAAGACTAGACACAATTTTTGCCAAAGATGCTTCCAGAATTTTTTTTTAATTTATTTTTATTGGAAAGGCATATATACAGAGAGGAAGAGAGACAGATAGGAAAATCTTCCATTCAATAGTTCACTCCCCAAGCGGCCCCAACAGTTGGAGCTGAACCAATCTAAAGCCAGGAGCCAGGAGCTTCTTCCAGGTCTCCCACACAGATGCAGAGTTCCAAGAGTTTAGGCCATCCTCTACTGCTTTCCTGAGCCACAGGCAGGGAGCTGGATGGGAAGTGGGGCTGCTGGGATTAGAACCGGTGCCCATATGGGATCCTGGTGTGTTCAAGGTGAGGACTTTAGCTGCTAGGCTACCACGCCGGACCCTACTTGCAGAATTCTTATTGTGCTTTTTCTGTTCTCAGATCCTCCTGATGTCTAAAACTGACCCGTACTCCAAGACAGTCCACAAGCAAAACAGCTGATGGATGGGGCAGGGGTGGTAATGAAGAGTCTCTCCCATGAAACATTTGTACTGGAAGCCATCCTGGAGGGAACTTCCTTCACCAAAGACCACAGTTCACACATGAGACTCCAGGCTGCAAGTGTTTGGACAACCCAATGCCCCCTGATGTCAGAACAAGGGTGGGAACTAGAGTTCCTTTAATTAATTCTCTTTTAAAAGAGATTTACAAATGTAAGAAGCAGAGTTATACAGAGAGAAGAGAAACAAGGAAAGAGATGACTGCAAAGGCCAAAGCTAGGCTAGGCTGAAGCCAGGAACCTGGAACTCCATCTGAGCTTCCCACAAAGGTAGCAGGGGCCCCAAGCAGTTACCTTCCTCAACTGCTTTCCCAGACAGTTAGCAAGGAACTAGGTTGGAAGTGGAGGAGCTGGGATTCAAACTGGGGTTCATAATCATAACAGTTCCATCACAGGCAACGGTTTAACTTGCTGCACCGCAATACCAGCCCTGTTTAATTAATTTTCACACAAATTAGCAAGTTCCCAAGTACTGTGCAGCACCACTGCCTTCCCCCACCTCAAGAAAGGTCTGTGTGGCCCCAGCATTCTTCTCGATCGATGTCTTTATAATCAGTGCTTTTTGCAATTCCCTAAAACACCTTGTTTTAAATCCAGGATGTTGGTGTCAACTGTGAATGAATTGAGTCCCCTGTGCTCCTGCCCTAGATTTGTTTCCCAAATGCTGTCAGCTCCTTTGCGGCCTGCAGGGTTTTGCAATCACCTGTTTCAAGGCCTGAATGAAGTCTTTTCTGTGTAATGTGATCATTCCATTCTGGCCCTTGGGCCTAGATATTTATTTTGACATCTTGACCTGAAGTGAGCTGGCTTTCCTAGCTATGCCTGTGACGTGTTTTTCAGAGCTTCATGCGTGTAACGGGTTAGACCCTGCCACGGGTAGCAACAAAGCAGAGCAAGCACAATCAACATTTGCACAAAGCCCCAAATCAGTTTCACAGGAGGACCAACTGCAGACAGAACCCACTTTCCACACACCCTCTCACGGGGCTTTATCTCCTGGCAAATGGTGTGTTGACAGCAGGGTCCTCAGCAGATGGTGTGAGTGGCCTGAGGTGGGAGCTGGGACTCAGCTGAATGAGGGGGATGGGGATGGGTTGGCTACATGCTTACTGCCAGGCAGGTTCCCAAAGATCCCCACTGGTGGCAGGCAATCAGGAAGCTCCAGCCACGAGAAGGGACCCACCCAGGGCACCAGGATGAATGTCTACAGTCAAGACACCGCCACTTATGCTAACTTGTTCCCATACCTATTCTCTCTTGCTCCTCCCTACTTATTTTCAGTGCACTTGGGCATGCTGTGGCTTTTAAGTAGACTGAAAGCCACAGATCCGTTGCTTGGCAGGTGTGTAGCAGGAAAAGGGTCCCCTATAACCAGCACCAGCCCTCCGAAGAAAGCAGAAGTGGCCAAGAGCAAAGCTCTGCACAGAGAGGCCAGAGCTTGGAATGGAGGCAACAGCAAGTACAAGGCAGGGAAGGCAGCGTGGGCAGGAGAGAAGAGGACACCTCTGTTCTCTGGGTTAGTGGCTAGGCGGTAGCAGAGAGAGGCAGTGGATGGTGGCAGGTAGAACAGGGGAGACACACTCCAGGACAGCCATCCAACAGGCAGACAGCAAGGCATGTTCTACATTTATGCTCTCACCCTTGCACATGTAGGAGAGGAACTTTTACTTCAGATATAAAAGCTTCTGTACTCTCACCTTGACAGTGTTCCCTGCCCCTCAACCATGCATGGCTTTGCTTACTCATCACACACTGAGGACTCCACAACATGTGACCTTACCACACCCAGATTCACACACACACACACACACACACACCTCTGCCCATTGGACACTCAGCTGTCCCAAGGCACTTTTCACTGCCCAGAGATGGCCCTGAAAGCTCTCTCCTGGAACCCTGACTCCAGACACTGGAGCCATAGGGCCTTCTGTCATCCTTTCCCTTACCTTCCAGGCAGCCCTATCTCCAGGCCCCAGAGAAAAGCCAGCCTATGGCCCAGTCTTCCATTCTATGACCTATAGAGGCTTCCCCGGCATCATCCTTATGACTTACCCCCTCTCTATTCCAAAGCCTATAGGATAAACAGGTACAGTGCAAGACACGTGCACCTCCCACCCCTGTTGCTTCTTACCTGGCCCCTGCCTGGGGCTGTGCCCTATGTTCCTGCCCCCTCTTTATACCCCTAGCCAAGATAGTCACCCACCATCTTCCCAGCCTAAATTCCCCCTTATTATATGCCAGCCCCCAATGAGATCACATCTGATAAGGTCTTTAGCCCTCAACTCCAAGGACACTCCATCAGTTATGTCCTTCTTCCCACCCCAGCTCTGACCTCAACTATGTCTATCACCAGCACCACTATCAGAAGTACATGGCACCCTGCACTGTTTCTCCAAAGCTGAGGTCAAGGTTGCAGTTACATGTTTCCTGTTAGGCTGAGTCATTGTCTTCCATCAACTCCCCCAACCCTGCCACCTCATGGCTTTATTCAATTCCATACTGCTAGAGCACAGCCAATGCCTGTTGTGTTTTCTGTGTTCAGCCCAGGTTTATTGAATAAACTCACATAGTAATGAGTTTTGGCAGGGGGACCGATTCTGGGTTCACCTCCCTGTTGATGGAATACCTCTCTGTTGATTATGGTAAGAAGTCCAAGCTGGAGTTCTCCATCTACCCGGCCCCTCAGCTCTCCACTGCTGTGGTGGAGCCCTACAACTCCATCTTCTCCACCTACACCACTCTGGAGCACCCTGACTGTGCCTTCATGGTGGACAACAAAGCCATCTATGACATCTGTCATAGAAATCTCAGTTTCAGGTACCCCATTTACATTAACCTGAACTACCTTATGAGCCAGATTGTGTCCTCAACCACAGCCTCTTTCCAGTTTGATGGAGCCTTTAATGTTGACCCGATGGAATTCCAGGCCAACCTGGTACCCGATCCCCCCCCCATCCACTTCCCTCTGGCCACTTACATCCCCATCATCTCTGCTGAGAAAGCTTACCATGAACAGCTTTCTGTAGCAGAAATCAGCAACGTTTGCTTTGAGCCAACCAACCAGATGGTGAAATGTGACCCTGTCAAATTGGGGTTTGAGTGAGGCTAACTAGGGGGAAAATGACAAACAAGTGATAGCAGAAAAGCATCCTATCAGAAGATGGAAAAAGGGTGGCAGGAAAGAGACCTCTTGAGAAGTAGCATCATGGACTGAGGGAATAGCTGTATGTAGTGGTAGAGGATTGGTAGAGTAGTTAATAATAGAAAGCACAAGCAAAAGGTAAAGAAGTATGTTCATAGCAGCACAATCAGTAATTGCAAAAACATGGAAGCAACCGAAATGCCCATCAGCAGAAGATTGGATAAGAAAGCTTTGGTTCATCTACTCCATGGAATACTACTCAGCTATTAAAAAAAACAAAATGCAGTTCTTTGTGGCTAAATGGGCCCAACTGGAAACTATAATGCTAAGGGAAATAAGCGAATCCCAAAAGGTTAGATACCACGTTTGCCTTGATTTAACCTGTAATTTTTGCTTGGTTGTTTGTTATTTTTTGAACCTGTCATTGATACTGTCTCAACCCAGATGTTTCGAAGAATGGAACTTGCATTATTTTTAACATATTGTTTACTCAATACTATGTCAATTAATTCCATAATGTTGTATATTGATGCTGAGGTTTTGTTGGGGCTTTTAACTGACCGGAACTTTACTCTGTTAGCTCCACCTTCAGACCAGAGAAGGTCTCCCCAAGAGGCCACTGAACTTATCTGGACAATGAGACGCTGGACTTTATGCTAGGTATATGCTTGCAATGAAGGAATCTCAACTGAACTTGAACTGTGGTTATGCAGCAAGGTGGAGGTATCCACTATGGGGGGAGGGGCATGGGAGAGGTCGGGGGAATCCCCAGTGCCTATAAAACTGTATCACATAATACAATGTTAATAACAATAAAAAAAAAAAAGGTAAAGAAGGTTATCTGTGTAAGGGTGAAGTCACAGAGATCTCCTTGGAACCAACAGTGGGAAACGAGGTTGGGAAGGCAGACTGCTCAGTTAGGGTAGTGGAGATCTGTGGAAAATTCTGGAATTGTCAGGGACATGGGAATGGAAAGGGGATGGGGGTTACTTACCAAAATTCCTTTTAAAAAGTAGTTTACATCCCTCCAGAGGCCTGCAGGAGTATGTGGTCTCCAAGGGTTGGTCTTGATAGGGAGCTTCGATCTCCGAGGATGTCTCTGTGATAGCAAGGAGATTCATAGATGTATCTGGAGACGGGGTAAAAAGTTTTAGATGAGACTTGTGAATCCACTAGGACAAGCTTCAACCGAGGAGTGATTCAAATATCAGCTCCATAGATTGACAAGACCTCGCCATTCTGGACCTGGCTCCATTCTGAATAGCTGCTTCCCCTAGCACTCATCCTTTTTCCCATGATTTGTTTCTGTCAATTTGTGCCCTTTATATTCAAATCTGATTGTCTGCCAATCTGCTGCAAACTCATAAGTCTATTCCCACCAATCTGCACTAACCTCATGGCAGTGTACCTGACAACCCTATCCCATCGATCACTCATGGCCCGCCATGGCCCTATCAATCCCTCATGACCCGTGCTCCAAATACCCACACTCTGGTCATAAAAGTAGGTTCCTGTGCACTCTCTCTCTCTCTCTCTTTCTCTCTCTCTCTTCCTCTCTCTCTCTCTGTCTCTCTCTCTCTGCCTCTGCTCCCATTCCTGCAGCCATCTTTCCTGCTGGATTAAAACCTCCTGTGTGACTCGCTGTGTCCGGTGTTTCGGGTTTGTGCTGACAAACTGAAAATAGCTACCATCCAAAAGAGCTAACAGCAAGGAGAAATAATGCCGAAAAGAGCTAACAACCATAGTCCTTTGCCCGGCAGCAAGGGAAATACAGCCAAAGTAAGGCAGGGTTCCAGCCCTAGCTGGGACTTTGGGATGCAGGCTACTTAATCACAGTTCTAGCAGTGCGATCTGGGGGACTTGTGTTTCCTCAGGCAGCAGTAGAGATAATTATTTCTCAAGGTGAGAATGGTCAGTGTTTCATTTTCCCAGGGAAGACTTTGGAGGAACCACTGGGAGAGGAATTTCACTGCGTTTCCCGTTCCACGCCTGCAGACAGGCCGGCCTGTATTGGATTAACACCACTGGGCCCCCGCACAGGGCTGGCTGCACCACAAGGGCTGAGGTTCAATTCCCAGGGCCACTGTCTGGAAAGAGGAGCCTGAGGAGCCATTTCCTGACCGCCCGGATATGGACCCAAGGAGCCAAGGAGGCAGGAGGAGTTGGAGACACAGCTTAAATCCAAAGGTGTCCTCGCCGTTCAAGGCTGTGTCAATTCTGTGTGTGTGTTGTGCCATCTTGCGGGACACAGGGCAACCCCTGACTGGGGACTGGACTCAGAGCCACTCTATTGTGGGGTTACTACAGACTTTTCCTCCACAGGCAAAATAAATAAATAAATGTCATTCTTCACTTTCAAAGAGAATTGAAACACTCACAGAGGCAGTGGACCTGGATGCAGGTTCCAACTCCTAGAAGTTTCATGTCTCATACTTCCCAAGTTTCTCTTCCTCACAGGGGCCACTGGGACTACAGGATCTCCTTTCCCGTTTGACTCATGCTTTCCTTGCCTCTCGGGGAGCCGTGCTTCTCAGAAGCTGCCAAATTGAGCAGCGGGAGCCCAAGCAGCCAACCCCGGGGGCCACTGGAACAACACAGGGGGACAAAGGACACTGAGCAGGAGACACATTTATTTTTATAGTATCACTTCCTTACTCCCCCAAATGATAACTGTTTGGATTACTTATTATTCCATTGGAGAAGGGGGAGAGCCTCAAATCTAATTGGGTTTCCACTGTGCTCACCGCTATTTGTTTAACTTTCATTCATTCCTGTGCTGGGGAAGTTGGAAGAAAGATCCCGGCATTCATTTCCAACCCCTCCTTGCCTCCTAAAGTCCTAGGGGCTGCTTTCCAGCTGCCTGGCCTCTCTTCCCAATGACTTGCACTGTTGAACTGTGAAGGGTCCACGAGGCTTGTTTCTCGACAAACACTAGAAAGGCAAATAGGGAAAGCCTCTCTGGAAAACACACAAAACATCATTGTGCAAATGTGAACTGGCTTCTGTGGGGTCAGGCCTGCTGTCAGACTGATGGGAGCGCCTGGGCTGGGATGTAGCCGGGAGCCAGGCCGTTAACATGGCCCAAGCACACCCAAGCACTCATTCCTCCATTGTGACAAGTTGGGAAACTGGGAAGAAGGGACAGGGGCTGACCTGGGCACAGGGCAAAGACACATAAGGGGTGGAAAAAAACAGTAGTCCTGTTATCCTGCCCCCAATCCTCAATTTTGTCTGTGGTTTTAGTTGTCCACAGTTTGAGGACAGAAATAAACTGTTTTAAATTGCACCCAATCCTGAGTGGCATGATGAAATCTCTCGCCGTTTCAACCAGGAGGTGAATTGTCCCTTTGTCCAGCACACCCATGTCATCTGCCCACAAGCCACTTTGTGGGCAGTTATCACATCCTCTGTCGCAAAATACAATACTGGTGTTCAAATCACCCTATTTTACTCAGCAGTTGCCACAAAACACATGAGTAGTAGCAACTGGGATATGCTAGAAAGAAGACACAAAGTGCTGCCTTTACATGAAGGGGCACAAGCTTAACATAGATATGCAAGTCTGGGAAGACACATTGTATGAGCATCCCTCTATACCCTCGGATTCCACTATTCAACCAATTGTGAATCAAAAATATTCAAAAAGGGATCAGGCTGTAGTAGCAGATTAAACCACCACCAGTGTGCTGGCATCCCATTTAAGTGCTAGTTCATGCCCTGGTTGCTCTATTTCTGATTCAGATTCCTGCTAATATGCCTGAGAAATCTGTGGAAGATGGCTCAAGTGTTTAGACCCCGGCACCAAGTGGGAGATCCAGAAGAAGCTCCTGTCTCTTTGGCCTGGCCCAATCCTGGAAGAGGCCAGAATCCTAACACATAATGCACTTCTTGCAGGTAAGAAAGGACCCTCATCCAGATGCCGCTGGGGTCAGCCTAGGTTTTCTCCACACTGATCTTCACCAAACAGGCTTGTGGGGCGTGGGGTGTGTGTGTGTGTGTGTGTGTGTGTGTGTGTGTGTGTGTGTGTGTGTGTGTGTTTAACCAAAAGTGGATTCAGAATGAGTATTTACTCAAGATGGGTTTGAGTAAACCCATCTTATACAACAGTATCCTATCCAACAGTCCTCCTGTGGTAGATAACTAACAAAATCCAGCAACCCAGCTGTGTGTGGGCAGCACTCCAACCAGAATGCAAGAGAAATGGTTCAGAGACTGACAGGGTACACCTGTATTCTCTCCAGCAAAACTTCTGGTGTCTCCACAAGGGTTTTACTCACACCTCAAGTATTTTAATTTTGAATTAAAAGCTACATATGGGCAACCCTAAGGATAAAAAAATAATCCAACAAATGTGCAAACACTACAAGAATGGCATACAGGTAAAACTTCATTGTATGTACCAAGTTGAAGTTGTTTCTGAACATTCCTTGACTTTGATCATACCTCCATCTCAAGGATGGCTAGGGAAGGGCAGAGCCACTTGTGGGTACAGAACAGCCTCCCCCAATAATCTCCTCACCTTCCTGTTTGTCTGAATTTGGAGGTAGCATCTACAGGTCTCAGGGCATAGTCCATTTGCCAACACGGAGAGTGAAAGCAAAAGGAGCAGTAACTGCTCTTCCTTCCAGCAGAGCCACTGACATTGACTGCTGAGACTTCACAGGACTTTTAAAAATATTTCTAAACATTTAACTGATACATCTAGTAACACGTATTTATGGGGTTCATGTGATGTTTTGATTACATATGCATCGTGTAATGTCCAATCAGGACACAATACACCCATCTCCTTAAATACCTAACATCTCCTTGTGCTGACTCAAAATCCCTTCTTCCAATTGGAGGAATGCACAGTGCATTATCTATAGTCCTGATTCTGTGCACCAAAACCCAGGACTGATTTCTTCCATCTGAACATAACTCAGTCCTTGTTGGTCGCTGCCTCCCCATCCCATTCTCGC